GAAAGTCTTCTCATGTATGAATTAGGCATTTGGAAAAGCTATGGATTAAGTTCTGTAAATGGAGAATGAGTTTCCCTGCCTCCACCTCCCCAACCTTAATAGCTTTGGACAACTCAAAGAAAATTTCTCTTTCCTTCTTATCTTCCCTCTTTATTCCCTTACTCCCTCTTTTCCTCCCTCCCTTCTTTCCTCCTTCCCCTTTCTCCCTCCTTTACTTTTTAGTCAAATTATCTGGAAATCATCTCCCTCTCCAAGTTGTAAATACGGTTTCCAGATATGATAGTTCATTGCTATTTTTTTTTCTCTTAACTTACCTAGGAAAAGTGAAAGAGGACACTTTCATCATTATCACTGAGAAATGCACCATTTTTTTTTCTTTTTATTTTATTTTCTTTTTTATTTTTTTAAATTTATTTATTTATTTTTTTTATCACACCATAGTGTATCTTTTTTTTTTTTTTTTACATGTATTCCCCATCCCGGTCCCCCCTCCCACCTCCCTCTCCACCCAATCCCTCTGGGTCTTCCCAGTGCACCAGGCCCGAGCACTTGTCTCATGCACCCAACCTGGGCTGGTGAACTGTTTCACCCTAGATAATATACGTGTTTCAATGCTGTTCTCTTGAAACATCCCACCCTCGCCTTCTCCCAGAGTCCACAAGTCTGTTCTATACATAGGAGTCTCTTTTTCTGTTTTGCACATAGGGTTATCGTTACCATCTTTCTAAATTCCATATATATGTGTTAGTATACTGTAATGGTCTTTATCTTTCTGGCTTACTTCGCTCTGTATAATGGGCTCCAGTTTCATCCATCTCATTAGAACTGATTCAAATGAATTCTTTTTAATGGCTGAGTAATATTCCATGGTGTATATGTACCACAGCTTCCTCATCCATTCATCTGCTGATGGGCATCTAGGTTGCTTCCATGTCCTGGCTATTATAAACAGTGCTGCGATGAACATTGGGGTACACGTGTCTCTTTCAGATCTGGTTTCCTCAGTGTGTATGCCCAGAAGTGGGATTGCTGGGTCATATGGCAGTTCTATTTCCAGCTTTTTAAGAAATCTCCACACTCTTCTCCATAGTGGCTGTACTAATTTGCATTCCCACCAACAGTGTAAGAGGGTTCCCTTTTCTCCACACCCTCTCCAGCATTTATTGCTTGTAGACTTTTGGATAGCAGCCATCCTGACTGGTGTGTAATGGTACCTCATTGTGGTTTTGATTTGCATTTCTCTGATAATGAGTGATGTTGAGCATCTTTTCATGTGTTTGTTAGCCATCTGTATGTCTTCCTTGGAGAAATGTCTGTTCAGTTCTTTGGCCCATTTTTTGATTGGGTCATTTATTTTTCTGGAGTTGAGCTGGAGGAGTTGCTTGTATATTTTTGAGATTAATCCTTGTCTGTTGCTTCGTTTGCTATTATTTTCTCCCAATCTGAGGGCTGTCTTTTCACCTTGCTTATAGTTTCCTTTGTTGTGAAATGCACCATTTTTGAAAATCAACTTAAACTGTCCCCTTTAGGACGAGTTCATGAAACGCAAGAGGGAAGAACAATGAATTCATAGAAGCACTTGTTTCCACCCACTTGGAACATAGTCCATGTTTGCCAGCCTGTATGATCTGCTGAGGGATAAGCATCCTCATTTACATAACCTCTTGGCCCCTTGTGTCTCAAGATGGCACCATTCCAAGGGTGCAGTTTCCCTCTAGATGAAGGAAGCTGAAAGCCCACGAATGTCCATCAGATACTCACTGGATGTAACTTCTCTAGAACGTCTAGGAATTTCTGGTTGTTTCTCCATCTCTTAGAGTCTTGCAGAATGATCTAATATTTGCTAATGTGCATGCCGTCTTTAATCATTCAGTGGCCCAATATTAATTTAGGACATATTATGAATCACTTGTATACCTACTGCATATAAACTCTCCTACTGGGTGCTTCAGGCTTGCCAGGTAGCTCAGTGCTAAAGAATCTGCCTGTCAATGCAGGAGACATGAGTTGGATCTCTGGGTTGGGGAGATCCCCTGGAGATGGAAATGGAAACCACTCTAGTATTCTTGCCTGGAGAATCCCATGGACAGAGGAGTCTGGCGGGCTACAGTCCATGGGGTCACAAAGAGTTGGACGTGACTTAGCAACTGGGCATGAACTGGGTGCTGCAGCCCTGCCTTGGAGGAACAGACAGGTGAGAGGTGCCTAAACATTAAATCCTATTCCTAACAGACTGAGCACATCAGGGGCAGAGGCAAGGGCTTTTCTCTATATACTCAACCGCACCCGAATGTAGTGTTGAGGACATAAACAGGTGATCAGTTTGCCCAGTGGATTTCCATAATGGTCACCAATCAAATTTTTGGGGGAAAAAAAGAGCTCCTTTCTCTCACTGTCAGAGGGCATATGACAGTCACACCTTCCATGGTAGAAAGTGATGACAGACCAGAGGCTGAGAAGAATACTTTACGTGGTTCAAATCAAAAGGAACTTTGAGCAGCTAAGATAAATAAGCACTGAAATTAGCCTAAGTACCAAAGACACTGCTTTTTTGGGGGGAAAAAGTTTCACATCTAAAAAAACACAAGTGGTTAGAAGTTCTAAATACTCATTGCAAAATTGTTTTTGTACTGAATTCACACCCTTAATGGTTTCCGCTCCAAAATGGAGCTCATCAACTCTACCCCTGTCATCTCGCTTATGGGGTCTGGATCAGAGAAAGAAATGAAAAGCCTCCTGAGGTAATTGCCATCTCCTCTGCCTCTCAAATCTGACTCAAAACCTTGTCCACATTTACTTAGTGTCTCTCTACTGGTGTCTCCTCTGAAGAACAATGCAATATCCCACCTGAGTTAAACCCAAATTAGCCAAGCACTGGCCTTTAGATATTTAAAAATATGTAGAGAGAAATGACCACAGTTCTCATACTGAAATTTCGAATGGTAACTTCCCTATTATATAGTTTTTAATAGTGATTTTTTTTTTGAGCTAAAATGGAAAGAACACTCAGCTGCTCAGTGAGGCAGAGTTAAAATATTCTGCAAAAACAGCACTTAGAGCAGAACCCCTGGGCTACCAATTAATGAACACACAACTACTAGTACCAGACACAGGTGTGCTATGGCAGATTCATGGCCCAGAAAAGGATTTTGCCATTATTATCCTATCTTTAACAATAAACACTTTATAGCAAACCATTTTTATGATAAGTGACGAAGGAGACTAAAATATGTATATAGCAGAATCAGTCACAGGTACTCTCTGAAGTGTTCACTAGCTTTCTCTCACAGCTTTCTCTGCTGGGCCCATTACTTCTATTCCACTTATATTGTTTAGTAGGGGTCTTGGCTTTCTGGCTGAACCTGTGAGATTTGTTAATCAAATGAATCCCAGTCCCAGCAAGGGTATCTAATGATCCTATGACAGCATGGTCTCTCCGGATAAATTCTGCCAGGGGCCCCAAGTCTCCCTGTTGGGGTGTTTTTTCCTGGTTGAAAACTCTGTGCTTAAAATTTAGTCTTTTGTCTCAATCCTGAGAAATAACGATCACTGGCAGGGAACCCATAATATCCCATACTTTTCTGGGAACAGGAGATCTTACCTCGATTTTTAAATACAGTGTAAGTACAGGCAGAAAAGTCAAGGTTGCCTGCTATGCAAAACCATCTTGTGACCCCACCCACTGCGGTGGAAACACAGTGGTGGATGAGTGTGAGTATGTGGATTTGGCTGGTGAGTGTGTTGTGTCAGTGGGTTTGTGCAAGTGCATACATTTGCATGAATGTGTACTTGTATGTTTCAGAGTGCTTGGGTATGAATATGCTATTTGTGTGTATTTTTGAGTAAATGTGTGCAGTTGTGTGTGTGTTCATATGTGTCTGTATATGATCACATTCTGTGTGAGGGTATGACCATGAATGTGTGAGTATAATGTATTGTGTATGGATGTCTATTTGTGTATGAATGTGTGTATGCGTGTAAAAGTGTGCATGTGTCTATTGTGTGGGTGAGTTTGGTTGAGTGTGTGGATGACTGTATGATTTGTGTGTGTAAATGTGTGTGTTTGGGTGAACATGTCAGGGTGTGAGTGTGTAAGTTGCATATATGTGTATTTGTAAGTGGGGTTGTATTTTTGTGTGTAGGAATGCACGTTGTGGGTGTTATTTGTATATGTGTGTCATTTTTTGTGTGTTCAAGTATTGCGTTGTGTGTGTTTGTGCGAATATATTTGTGTTGGAGTATGTGGGTCTGTGATTGTGTATTTGTGTGTTCTCGTTTGTGGGAGTTGTGCAAACGCGAGCGTTTGTGTTGGGACTGTGCGCACCACGGGAATGTGGGTTGTCTGTGTGTTTGTGAGTATGTATACTTGGTTTGCGTGCGTGTGTGTGTGCGCGCGCCATGGAGCGCGCGTGTGAGCCACTGTGTGCGGTCGCCGCGCGCCTCCACCTCCGCGCGAACCGCCCCTTCGCGGCGGGAGCAGAGGCTGCGGCCGGGCGGGCGAGGGAGGGACGCGCGCCGCGGTGAGCGGCTTGCGCCGCCGTCACCGCCGCCGCGCCGACTCTGCCCTTTAAATCGGTCTCCAAGCCGATTACAGCTGATCTCCCACGTGACGTTTTACCTTCTGTCTCCCGGAGCGAGTGGCCCGAGGACAGTCCTTCTCAGCCCGCCGCGGGGCTCGGGCTCCCGCAACTTTGAGCGGAGCGGCGGCCGGCCGGGCGCCCTCGCGGGCCCCTCTCTCCACTCGGGCGCCGGGGCGCCGGGGGCTTCGCTCGGCCCGGGGCGGGGCGGGAAGGGCGGTCAGGACAGACAACGTGTCCCGGCCGCATCCCGCCGTCCCTCGGACCCGCGCGGCGCCGCGCCCGGGAGGCGGACGGCGAGCCCGGTGCGCCGCGTCAGGCAGCCGGGCGCCCCCCACGTCGTCTGGAGCCGGGCGGGCGCACCCTCGGAGGAGCCGGCGGGAGATGGCCACGAGGCAGGGCTGAGCCCCCCGCGCCCTCACCATGCAGAAGAGCGTGCGCTACAACGAGGGGCACGCCCTGTACCTGGCTTTCCTGGCCCGCAAGGAGGGCACCAAGCGCGGCTTCCTGAGCAAGAAGGCAGCCGAGGCGAGCCGCTGGCACGAAAAGTGGTTCGCCCTCTACCAGAATGTGCTCTTCTACTTCGAGGGCGAGCAGAGCTGCCGCCCGGCGGGCATGTACCTCCTGGAGGGCTGCAGCTGCGAGCGGGCACTCGCGCCGCCCAGGGCCGGGGCCGGGCCGGGCGGCGCCCGTGACACGCTGGACAAGCAGGTACCACGCGCCGTGCCCTCCCTGTCCCCCTGCCTGCGGCCGCGGCGATTCCCAACTCTCCTGACCCCGGAGGTGGAGGGCCCGACCTAACGTAAGGCCCTCGCTCCGAGGTCCCCCTGCAGCGTCTGTGGCAGGACCGCTCCACGCGTCTCCCCATCGCCATGCCCCCGTGTCCTCCATCCTTTATCTCTTCATCTCCGTTGATATAGGGGCTCGGCTTTATTATTTTTTTCCCGCGTCCCGAAAGCGGTCGGGTCCTTTCAGCTTCTTTGCTCACCTCCCATGGCCTCTCTACACCTTGTTCGGAAGGATTTAGTGTGGTTACGCGTGTTGACACCTGTTGGATTTCGATTAGCAAAACGGAACTAACTTATTTGGGAAAGTTTGGTTTCTCCTTTACCCGGCTGGTGCGTGCAGGTTTCTTTGCCTGAGATGTTTGATCGCTGGCTGAGCAGGGAACACACCGGGCTCCCGGGACGGACAGGCACTTTCTGTTGGTCACTTTCAATCTGTCTTTGTGGTTTCTGTCAGTTTACTTTGCTAACATTTGGCCTGCTGGGTCTAATTATGAAGGTAAATGTGTATCCGTTTCCCTCAGGATTAATATTTAGTAGCCACATTCCTGCTACATGTAGGGGCATTTAAAAAGAATGCTTCTGTGTACTTTTCAATGAATGCTTTGAAAATGAATGTGATCTTTTTATTCTGGGTCGTAATTTTATTAGTTTTGCTACGTTTTGCACTCACGGAGGAAAAAAAAAATGCCTGCAAATTTAGTAACTCCCGCACCCCATTCCTGCGAATGCGAAATTTGTATTTTTTCAATCACCATTTGTTATTAAAGTTAAAGCAGACTAATTTTATGCTCCCAAATCTTCTCACTTCGCTTCTAGATGTCCACCTGGAAAAAAAGACTGATGGTCTTTGTTGTTGCATAAACATATTTAGCAGGTTAATTTTCCGTGCAAGTCAGACCAAACAGCTTCTACTGCAAACCCCGAGGGCGGCTGTGGGAGGCGCTAGCGATGGAAAGATGAGTAAGATGCCTGCATAACCCCTGGGGGCTCATAAAACAATGTGTAAAGTTAAGAGGAGTTAAAACTAGATGGAACAGAAGTTTGATTTTTCTTTTCTCACTTTGGTTTCACTGTAAATCATTCAGGTTTAACTGATTAAGCGTGGTATAACACACACTTGAAAAACTTAAAGTATAGCCCCTTTGGTTTTTGAGGGCATGTTGAGGGTCTTTGAAAAACTGATTTCCAATTTTGTAGATGTAGGTACTGGAAATATAGGTTTAAATTTCAAGTTAGATGTTTTAGAAATTAAATTGAGAGCCAGAGGAGGGGTTTTGAAGAAATATGTAGAGTTTATTTTTCAGGATTTTTTTTTTCCAGGGTTTCTGTTGGTGAGATTTTTCTTAAAGGCATGTGTTCCAAGGCCCATAGGAGCAAAGACAGTAGATTTAAGACGTGTTATTATGTCTAAACTAAAATAGGATACTTTAGATTATTCTGAAGATACATCATTGACTTAATTACAAAGTATTTTTCTCTCTTTGTATGTATGCTAATATCAGGAGATAGCCACTTTAAAAAAAGTAAACTGGGAGTGGGGAGTTTTTACCTGTTGCACTGAAACATAGCTGCCTGTCCTGTTAACATATGAAAACCAAGATTTTTCTACTTGGAGAATAACCAGGCTCTTACCTTTAGGACAGTTTTCTTTGAAGCATACTTTATAAAGAACTCTAATCTCTATAAATAGCTTGACTCTCATGCTACTTCCTAATAGAAGTCCAAAATAGGTCTCCTTACAAAAAATTTTTTTTCTCTGTCATACAAGCCATGAATATTTCTCACTCGTTTCTACATCTCCATGAGGTTAGGAATTAGAACCTGTGGTGATTGTAATAAAACTGAGATAGAGAATACAGCATTCAAAATGGATTAGGAGTTGGACTGGGAAATCTGTTAGTTTGTCTTGTGTTAGACATCCTTTATGACTTGGGTTGGCTGAGAACGCTGATATTTTTTCTGTAGTACTATCTGTCTATGTTTGAAGAATGAAGAAGAAACTGTGAAGATGAGAAGCAAGCAGAAACAGTTTACCTTAAATCTACAGTTTATTTAGTTGGTCCTCTTTCAGTTAATTTGTGTTGCTAACGCACTGATGCGAAGAGCCCAACTCTTTGGAAAAGACCCTGATGCTGGGAAAGATTGAGGGCAGGAGAAGGGGATGACAGAGGATGAGATGGTTGGATGGCCTCATTGATCCAGTGAACACGAGTTTGAGCAAACTCAGGGAAGCCTGTTGTGCTGTGGTCCTTGGGGTCACAAAGATCTGGACACGACTTAGCGGCTGAACAACAACAGTGTGCTTTACCTCTGACAACTGGACACGGTGCATCTGTGAACCGGGTGAGGTAGGGGGAAGCTGAGAGGGGCTGAGCAGAGATCCTGTCAAAGTCTGCTTCTCCTAGTATGCTTCTGGAACTTTCCTCGTAAACGTTCCTAGCAACCCCATAAACATACTTGAAGGTTAGGGCTTGAAACAGGTCTTAAGGAGACAGAATAGGTTTCCTCCACCATTTCTGTGTGACTTCTTTCAGGCAAATCTCTTAACATCTCATTAACATTTTTTCTGTTAATGAAATCTGTTTTTTTAACATGTAAACATTAAGAGTTTGGCTAAGATGATTTCTAAGTTGCGTTCCAATTAGGACATCCCCTGCTTCTAGGATTTTAACAGATAGTGTGAGCTTTTTGCTATGTACAAGGATGTGAAAGACTATTTCACCAGATTTAAAGGTTACCAGCCTCTGTAATAAATACTGCCTCTGAGTAGCTGAGGCCAAGCAGGTGACTGAAGTGGAGAAGTTCAGAACTATAGAAACATCATTGCTTGAGACAAAGGCGTTCTTACCATTCACATTGAAGGGTGACGTGTTGTAATGACAGTGACAGTTGACGTAATTCTCGCTATAAAACACCTCTAATCATTCTTGCCAATTTAAATTCTACTTCTTCAAGTTATTTAAAATTCTAATTAACTGTGGTAAGTTATGAGAAGAAAACACTCAGTGGTTTGTTTCTTCTTAATACTCATTCAAAGTGCTTTGGTTGACAAAAGAAAATTAAGGTTTTTTCCCTCCCTCTCTCCTTCCTTCTTTTCCTCTGTCCCTTCCTCCCTCCCACTTCTTTCCTTTATTTCACCATTTTATCTTAAACTGTTTCCAGTTAAGAAGAAAAAATAAAAGTGATTTTAACTTTCCAAATGTGCATAGGTTGAAGGAATATTTGCATTGCTCTATTTTTCTCAATAGTGTCCCAGGATTTCACTTTAGTTGGTCCTCGGGAGATGCATGGCTCTTATCAACCTTCTATAGTAGCTATTTCTTAGCGGTAGTTGCGGTGATATAGTCAAAATGCTCTCAGTTACAGAAAATTTTAAGTGGTGCTCCTTTTCTCGAAAATATGTGTATTGGTAGCACTTCTTTCTGAAAGAGCTCCATTTATGGAAAATGACAAATTTACCTTTCACTCCAGGTAAAGGTGTTCAAGGGGGAAAGGAATTTGCATTTAGTAGGAACCTTCTATGTGCTAAGCTCAGTGTTCCCTTCTATTGGCTAATCTAGTTGGAACCTCACTTCAGCTCTCGGAAATTGGCAATGTTCTTTCATGTTTACCTATGATAAGACTGAGGCTTTAAGAGTTTTAGGGAGATGACCAAAGTCTAAGTCTAGGTATGAAGACTGAATAATCTCTGAAGAGTGTTTTATTAAGGAGACTATTTAAATACACTAAATTTCAAGAAATTTCAGGTCTGGGTGAAATGGGGGTTGGAGTTGTAATAAGTGAATCACTGTTTAATTTTTTCCTCTTAAAACTGTTTAAAGGAGCAGTTTCCATTTTGAAAAATACAGTTGCAGACCATTCCATTTTCAAAGAAAAATGGGCTTTATGTTTAAACAGTTGTATGGGGCATTCATTTACTTCAGCAGGGAATCTAAAAATACTTACTCTGGGGTGAAAGTATATATCTCAGTTAGTCTGATCTGTTTAAGTGGTTGTATCCGTCTTGCCTGCTTGCAGGAGTGGCATACAGGAACAAAGTCATCTTCACTCTTACTCTCCTGGTAATGTTGAGTGTTCTGTTCAGCCTGACTCCAGCTGTTTCAGAGGCAGGGTAGAGAATATATCCTTAGTTCTGGAGATTTACAGTAGTAGATACTAGTCATATTTGTGCTGAATGAAACATGTTTTAATTTTTAAGGGATTAAAGGTTATATGGTTTCCCCTGTCACCTCATTTCCAGCCAGTCATTTTAGCCTTCCTAACTTGACCACAAGCAGAGGATTTTAATCATTTTATCGAATTAGGCAGAGCTGCCTGCAAGCCCTGAAATATTTGTGGAGGTTGGGGAGTGTGGATGATCGGTTTTTGTTCCAGCTCACGTTAATTGAAATATAACAATCAACTCAATATTTTCTTTTCAGCCTTTGTTTATTGAACACAAATAAAGGGCAAATGGAATAAAAATATTTGTTAAATCTTGTAAAATGTTTTAAAGTATAGTTTAGAAAAGAAGTGATTTATGACTTCAACTTTGTAATCGTTCTTCCAATTAAGATTTGAATGAAGAAAAATAATCTATGGATTAGAAAAATACAGTTTTAATTTTGACTGCACTAAAGCTTACTGTTTATATTATTGTACTTATTGTTAAGACTTCAGCGTAGAAAAATCCATCTTTGATGGGACAGATGTACATAAAAGTGAATTTTTATTGTGACAAGTATTTTTCCGTGGGTTTTAATAAGTGAGTACTAAATACACTACTAAATGGTGGAAAATATTTGTAGTGTAATAACAGTTTTTTTCCCTTCTTTCAGGAATGAAAAAGCAGGATTATTTTTTTTTCATTGAATGATAAGTCCTAAAGCATGTATGATAACCAAAAGCTTCTGGCTTAACTGGCAAATATTAGTAGTTTGTTTT